GCCAACTAGAAGGGCCAACCAGAGGGTCTCTGGAGCAGCACTTGGGCTTATCAAAGGAGCAGCTGGAGCAACCACAGGACACGCTGGGAATGCACTTATGTCAACCAGGACAACACATGGGTCTGCCAGAGGGGCACTTAGGCCAACCAGAGGGGCATTTACACTGAGGTCACTAGGGTTGCCCCTTGTCCCTTGTGTTGAGGGGTGTCATTTTGGGCATGGGACTATTCAGTTTGGGCACAAGTGTTATATGATATTAGTCTCATTCTGTCTCATAGATCCAGCAACAAAATGTGATGACTGAGCTGTCCAAACTGACTTTTCTTAGATGATTGGTAATGCTATGTTGCAGTTGGGACGTTTCGGTTCACAGGGCGTTCTGGTAAAAAAAAAAAAAAAAGAAAAGAAAGAACATTGTCATCCAACAAGATAAAGAATATGGGTAACACAGATTAAAAAGCATAACAGATGAACTGACAAACAAACAAAAATATGTCAAATTCTGCAGGGTGTGCACCAGGCAGGCTCAGCTGAGAATGGTGACCACCCATGGGTTCTGTCATCCACGTTGGCACTTCACTAGTTACAGGCCCCACTGCTCTCTCTGAGACTTATTTGTGTCACCTACAGAGCCCTGGAGACACACCTTCAACACACACACAATCATGCGTGTTCAGGCTTGCATGATAGCTGGAAAAGGTAAGTGTGATAAAGAACAGTAGATAAGTAGATAAGTCTTAAAATGTGAGTTTGGTTCTCCTGTTCATGTTTGAAACTGGTTCACAGTTGAATTCTTTTGAAATATGTTTAGTTATGTTATCAAATCTTTGAGAATGGTCTTTTAGTTACAGAGTCCAACAGTCTTTTTTATTATTTATGTTAGTCTATTTTGTAGAGTAAAGCTGTGTAGGTCAAACATCTAAATCACAGACCCTGACAGTGTTAGTGAACTAGGACATCATTGGATTTGGTTCAGAATGTGACTGATTCAGTTTTGATCCAGTATAAATATTTCTTCTTTTTTTTTTTTTTTACAGCCCAGGAGTGTACTGACCCACTGTACACTATTTAGCACATAACACTTTACGTAAACAAAGATTGGCATTACTACAACAGATCTGTCCATTCAAAGATATCCCTTGTTGTTTTGAGACTTGATGTTAATCTGATATTCCACTGGAATAGATATGTGTTTTCCTACAGCTTTTTTTTTTTTTCCAGTGAATACTATATATCTTTTTTATTTATTTGTAACAATTATTTCCCCTTAAAATACTTATGCTTTAGTTGTTTATAAGTCACTTAAAATCATTAACAGGCTAAATGTTTTTTTCCTGTATTCAGGAAAACTGCACATTTTAATGGACAAGTACCAGGAATTGTCTTTGATAACAATTTCGACTATTGGCCACAGTATTCTAGTACTGAGAGTCTTGTGTTTGCAAATATTGACTCAACTGTCCCACTTGGGGAATGACAAGAATTCAGAATTAAGGAGTTCTTTTTTTTTTTTTTTTCTTTTTTTTAATGAAATGCCCTTTGTATTTTTTTTTTTAACTCCTTGTTTTCAATTCAAATGAGCTCAAGAAAACACTAGTTGGACACAAAAAAAAAGTGAAAACACAAATGTAGCAAAGAGTGTGAACTCCATGGCCTTTTCCTATGTCTTCACACTGCATCTGTGTCCTGACATGGACCCAACCGTCTAACCGCATTTTGCCTTCTTGCACCCAGGGGAACATAAGGATCGCATATGCCTTTGGCAGGAGTCCACGCCCACATTCCTCAGCTATGTGCTCACAAGTGCTCCTCTCTGCCCCCCCCACCCCCACCGCGCACCGCCCAGCGCGCCTAGCCCCCTCCCGTCATCCTCTTCACTCTGACACCAAAACCTTGGCCCACATTGCTGTGCACTGTAAAGAAATACAAACATTCAGATTTTTCCCTGGACACAGGGGCAGCTGAAACATAAATTGTGCCACTAAGTTGTGTCTTCCAAGCTCTCCTCAACATGCCGCTGGCTAGACTGACTGTTCTAGTGTGCATGTAGATAACGTAGGTTTGTCAAGTCTCTGGGATGGGATTCATTTTAGCTGCAGTAACTAGATGCTGAAACTCATTTCACAGAAATTTTCTCCAATGTGAAATGCAGCCCTGTAGGAAAGAGCAGGAGGAGAAAAGATGGTAAAGAAAAAGAGCTGATCACTGGAACGAATCTTGACTTCAACTTCCTAAGAATCCTTCTTAGCCAGAACCTTTTATGAGACTATTCCCCAGTGGCCTTTCTAGTTAAAGGTTATCTTTTACTTACAAGTCAAAGTCAAAGACAGTGGGGTCGGGAGAGGCGGTGCAGTTTGCTGTCTGGGGTGACTGGGTTCAGTGGTAGGGGGTGCATGGTGCGGAATGTGGCTGTAAGGAAAAGCCAGGAGGAATCATTATAGGGAAGAAATGAGACGCCAGGACTGGGAGTACAGCACATGAGTAGAGAATTTTCAGTCTTTTATAAAACAAGCCTCTGCACATGGCTTAAATCTCCTGATCTGGGATCCTTTATCCTCCTGTGACAATGTGTACTTTCCAGTTTTTAAGTGTGGAGACTGAATGGAAGACAAAGGCAGAGAATATGCTTATTTTACTCTGCATATACTTTAATTCTCAGATTATGGGATTATGGGTTATAATGGCTTTTGCCAACTAGCTCCTGATTTAGCCAGTGCTACATTATTTCAGATCTTACTACACTTAGTAGCAGATCTGTCAAGTACTGTAGGTTTTATAAGGCAGCATGTGTCACTTTGACCTGGAAATTTCAGTTATCTAATTACTTGGTACAAAAATGTGACCTTCTGGCCAGACAACCCACTAATCATGACCTGCCAAGACAGAGACAGGTTTTAGGGTACAATGCTCAGTGCTAGAGAAGTAATATGTAATATGTGTAACTATAAATCAGCAACAGACTGCTCTGGAGGCAGGAATCATTGGTTAATCAGTAGCTGATATTATGAAGCCCAGAATTCTTGCTAGAAGCCATAGATGAAAATTAAAGTGTTAGCCAACATGTTATCTTAGTTTAAGATGGCCAAATTAGCCGTTTGTCCTCTGCTTCCTTTATTATTATGTTTATATATAAATGTATTGCAGGTCATCATTATTTTTACATATTTATATTTCGATCATGTTGACCATCTAGCTTACTGCAATGCAGATAAGGGGGACTTGAGTCACGTGACTTGACTCAAGTCAGACTAGAGTCACAGATTTGAGGACTTGAGACTTGCTTGACCAACAGTTATTCAAGACTGGACTTGACTCTGACTTTGAATTAGACTTGAGACAAATGACCCACCCGCTTTAACCGGATCTGCACCAAAATATAATGGTTTCTTCCCTGGCCCATGCCCCATCCCTCCACCTCCTCAGTGGAGGTAATAATGATGATCAGACTAATAATAATGATTGTAGCAGTGGGTGGCTGCAGTCACAGATTCAGACTCTAGATTGCTACAAAATGTCAAATAGCAGTAAGATTTCTAAGGTGTGAGCAGCTGCAACAGTTTCGTTACTGTTGAAAGTAAAATTAAACTTTTCATGACCACTGACCTTTAACTGATTTAAATGTGAAAAACAGTGGTTACTCGTCCCCACCTTCTAATGTTTTAAACAACCAACTAGATTATTTATATGTAACAAAATAATGTAGACTGAAACAACCACTAATGAACTGTCAAGCTCATTTCATGGTCACTGAATGGTCACGGATTATGTGTCTACCTGCAGAGCAGCTCCGCCTCTAAAACACCTTTGTACCAAACCAAAGCTCCAAAGTGCTCATATCAACTTCTTCTGCACCTATCTCATTGTTGAATGACAGATCGGACACATCTTTAACACAGAAGTACATTTATTCAGGTCTTAATACATTAATATTGAACAAGTTACATATTCTTATTGATTGCAAATCACACGTCACAATTCCAATTTATTCCTGTATACCTGTATAAGTTAAATGTAACAGATTTTCATTTTAAAATATGTATTGGGTACTCTTCCTCGTGTTACGAGGAGCACTTTGTTATAAAATGTAAGTAAAAGTGCAATATCTTTCTATTCATAAAATTACAAAAATTGGTCCAGAATCTGCATTCTGAGCAGGACTTCTCTGACAGACTAAATATTGTGTTTTTCATTTTAAAAATGCAATATATCTTAACATTTTTTTTTTCAGTAATTTGTTTTTTTGATGCTATTTTCTAAAAACGGTGGCTAAATACAAGAAATACAACATTGTCAGTTTACAAAAGCTTAGCATATCAATCACTGCATCATCTATTTTCTAAATAAACTTCATTTTTTTCCCATATAACTATCTGGAACATAGAGTTTTGACAACAACGACACCATAATATCTCACAGCGCTATGTTACAATAAAATATCTCTGTCATAAGTTCAAAAAGAAAAAAAGAAAATATAACAATAGCAACATAAAATTAAGGAATACAATGCATAGATTCAATCATTTAAAAATGTAGAGATATAATTTACTTAGTACAGCTCTTTTACTTTTAGAGTGAACCCTGTGACACTGACTACATGGATTCATTACAGTTTATCCTGACTTGAGTGACCGGCACAAATATATATAATTCTGAACATATCACATGATAAAAATGCTAAATATATCACTTTAACTTCAAAGGCAAATTTGGCTATAGTACATTATGGCATGTTTGGGTAAGAAAAGGCAACACCTGGCACCAAAGCCAAACAGCAGCTTCTTTCACGGCTTCTCTGCAGAGCCTTTTGAAATGTTAAGAATTTCATTTTACTCTTCTTAAACCTGCCCGCTCCATGGCTTTCTTAAAAATCTCAGCCAGCCGTGTCAGATCTTGTGCCATTACTGGTTTGTGGAGTGTGCAAGTTTTCATTTCAGCCAAACACCAAAACTAATTTAAAGAGCTTTCCTCCTGCAGATGGAGGTGAACTCATTAGTAAAAAAAATAAAAAAAAAAACCTGCATACTCCCAGTCCTTGCCAACACATGATCAGACACACACTGATATATGTGGTTTCCGTATAAATCAATCAATAAACATTAATGTCGAATAGGCAGTTTTCAGTTTTAGTTATCTCTAAGCCACTTGGTCTTTTAGCCACCGAACCAGACAACTTCATGAGAAGCAGCCATGTTTACACACACCATCTTCACAAAGGTCGCCACAATCTTGCACACTACATGTGACTCTGCGTAACAAGTCATCGACAGGCTGACAAGCTCATTGTTAGTACAGCAATAAGTGGGAGAAGTGGGAAAATGCAAATATACAAGCTAGATAAGATACTTAACACTTAGTAGCACTTTTCAGGGGAAACTTTCAAAAATAAACGTGTTATTAAAAAGAAAAAAAAAAGAAAAAAATGACTGGAGCTATCAAGCTATCACGTGTTACCGTTATATCAAATGTTTAAAAAGACACAGAGACAGGTAGAGGTAGGAGGGGCAGACTGAAAGTGGAGTCTCATTAAAAAGCTGATCCTATAGATGGCATCAGAGGAATCATACTGTACTGTTTTACATCAGTCAGGCTAACCTTTTGAGACAGAGAAGAAAACGTTCTGAAACTGAACAGGGGGACCGGCTGGTATCTCACAGTGACTTCAATGGCAATCTCTAGCAGGTCTTGGACTCAGCCTTGTGTGTGTGAGAATATCTTTTCTCCAACCTGCCTCGACCTCCTAAGCGCTCAGGAAACACCTGCAGCCTGCTCGCTTCTTCTTATGAAAGCAGGGAGCTGAAAATAAAGAATTCACTGTACTTCTCTTCAAGGCTGCTGGATTTGAGTATCTTCTGGACCGTAGACATTTACAATATAAAACCCTTCAAGCCTGCAGTCTACTCTGTTAGGCACAATAAATAGGCCCCTGTGGTATTAAGGTTCAGAGTGACGAACGGCTCAGGACAATTCTGACATCCGAGCGCAGGTTATGCACCAGCATAAATCTATATTAAACCACAAATAATTTAGGTCTCAAATATATACTAAATCTAGTAAACACCTACTACATCATTTTAATATACATTCGTAATGTATGTACAACAAATCAGAGAGTGTATTACCATTTTACAGCCTGATTGAGAAGGATTCTCAAAGCACAGATCCGTCCACTCAACGTGCGTTTGAAAGAATCTGATCCAGTTTTCTTTGTGAGCTCATTTCTGCTGCCTTAATTTTTGCTTCCATTCTGTAAACACTATTTACAGTCTTATAAAATACACTACAAGACCTGATTTTACAAACGGTATGATGACATTATGTACATTCAGGCGATAACAAAGTGAGTTATTATGTAACATCATCCGAGGATCCCTTGAGAAGTCTCTCACTTTACATCATGTCAGTCCACGAACCCATGAGCCAGATTACCTTCATAATTTGTCCGTAGTGGTAATCAATTATCCCTAAACTGTACATACAAAAAGTTTGATTGTGGAGACAAAGTAAACAGATTGTGCTGCTGATGATGAGATGGAGTTGGCAGTGTCACTCGCAGACAAAACCACTGTATAGTATTTCTAACCTTGGTGAGGAAACCAGAGGAGGTGTGTTTCAGTTTGGCTCTTACGTTAAGGCAAAAATGTTTGGCACTTAAGTTTGTACAGAATATGTGAGATTTCAAAAATAATTCTGATTTCATCTTCTTCAGTTCGGGGGCTCTAATGGTGTTGCATCCTCAGCAGATCGTGACCAGTCTCAGTCTGCTGGAGTATTTGTGAAACAGAAATGTTGATGGTACAGAAACCGCAGATGATGTTGGGATGAGGATTAAACATCCTACGATATTTTTATTTTTTTTGTTGTCTCAGATGAGTTCTGATTCTGTCTTTTGCCAAACAGCAACAACAACAGTCCGGACGAACAGAACTTTTTTCGTACTACAGTTTTTTTTACCCTGACACCCAGCTGTGTGTGGTGGTCTTCACCCCGTGGGGGAAACCCTGTTGGGTCACCATTGGCTCAAAGTTGAAGTCCAGTGAATCCCCGTCCATCAGAGTGTCATGGAGGACCGTCTCCATGTCAAACTCAAACTTCTCGATGGACATGTCGTCCAAGTCGCTGGGCAGCTTCTCTGGGTGTGAGGGTGGTGCCAGGCCGGGTCGACCGTATCCGTTGGTGTTGAGAGGGCAGAAGCCGCCAGGCATGCCTCCCCCACCGAGGTGGCTGGAGAGGCCATAAGGCATCTGCATGGGGCTTTTGGCCGTAGGCAAACGCGTGGTGCCCCCGCTGTGGCTCAGGGACATGAGCAAGCGGCCGTTCATAGCCGGTGACGTGGTGGGGGCTTGGCTGTGCACATTGTGGGGGTGAGTGTGAGAGAGACTGTGCAGGTGACCGTTTCCTCCTCCCATGAGTTTGGCTGCGTGTTGACTGCTGCTGTATGGCGGCAACATGCAGCCTCCGCTGGACTGAGACACCACGGTGTCCACTGACGGCATGAGCTCTCCGTGCTGGTCTGTATCTGACGTCAGCAGCTCCTTCAGGAGCCCTGCAGGGCAGCTGTACTGGCCCAAACCCGGCCCGAAGCCGGGCTTACTCTCTGGCAGTGTCTGCAGCGGCATGGGTGACAGGGTGTTAATTCCCGCTTGACCATACACACACTTGCGATACTCCTGCTGAGGCTGCGTCACCATACTGGGGGAGCTGTATGTGGGGTACCCAGGGCTCGGCTGCATCATAGGAGATGGGGAGGACTGGGAGGAGCCGGGGGTCGTCGCTCCTCCTCCAACTTGAGAATTGTTGGGCGAGAGCAAGTTCAGGTTGTCCAGAAGGTTTTCCATAACATTCTCAGAACTGTGTCCCAGAGAGCCAGTCATCTCCGTGAGGCTGGGCAGCGTGGCTGTCATTTTGGCCCCCGGGGGTCCCGGGTAGCCCATATGCACATCTGCCTCTCCGAGATCATCCTCAGGCATGAAGGGTGAGAGGCGGCCGCTCAGAGTGCTCGCGTTGGAGCTGGTCCGAGGCCTGAAGCTGCTCCATGCATCAAAGTCATCGTTGCTGTGGGAGTTGGGGCTGCCAGGCCACTTAGAGTAGGAGCCGGGGCTGTCTGCGCCTCCGTCAGGGCCGCCCTGCAGGGACAGCTGTGGAGAGACAGTGTAACATATGAGACCACTGGAAATAAAACACAGGGCTGGCTGGTATTAAAAAAAATCAAATACCTAATAGTCATGTCAAATACCATGATGTGATCTCGGGAATAACAAAGTCTAATAAAATTGCATTTGTTTATTGTAATGTAGAGGAAATGATAATGAAAATATTTATCAAAACACCCATTTATCTGTTGGTGAATTCTTATTTGAGAGACAGTGGAAGAAAATTCAGAAATTAAATATCTGCAACCTCTTAGCTCAAAAGCACTAGATGGATCCTTTATTTGTTTACCTTTTTCTTGGCTGCTCTTCCTCTGCTCTTGGTGAACTTGCTGTTGTTGTCCATGGAGGCTGCTCTGCGTCGCGGGGACTTGCCGCTCTTCCCGCCCTCTGGGTTTAACATCCACCACGAGCTCTTGCCCGTCCCCTCATTCTGGACGCGGACAAAGCGGCTGTGCAGCGACAGGTTGTGTCTGATGGAGTTCTGGAAGACGAGGGAGAACGAGAAAAAAGAGGAGAGCTGGGTGAGTGGCCGACAAATGGCAGAGATTTGTGTTTGCCCTTTTCCCAGAACACCTCAGAACTGCTTTCGCATTCAAGTGCAAATCCCCCTGTACAGGTGGCTCTCTTTTAGAAAACACACACTGGGCTTGAAAGCTGACTTACAGAGGAGAAAGGGGAGATTTTAAGTTCACTCAACAATCTAATGCCATTTGCTATTCAAAGAAACACATGTGCACAAACACACACATACACACACACACACACACATACGATAGGTGTCAATAAGTTTACTCCATGAGCAATACATCCTGAACAGAGCAAGGATTAAACTGCAGACACTCTTATCTCCAAACATACTGTACAAGTGGGCCTTTATTTCCTTTACAAAAACAGAGGGGCCCATTGTAAAACACCATTGTACCAACGCTCACATTCCACCTGACTACGTGTCTTGTCTAAACGAGCACAGAATCAAAGGGAGGAAACAGACTAATCTTTTCTCCTTACAGACACATTAATTCTGCACTCTAACGTTGCTTAGTGACACCCCCGGTGGAAAAACTCATTTTTGTCAGGAAGCTAGTGAAGCATTATTAAAACACGGCAAACAAAACAGCGAGAATATTGGGCAAACGTCAGCTGAGCAAACCACAGAGAGTGAGAGGCCGTTTCTGTCCTGCTTTACTGGAACTGCTACTGTACTGGGACTGAGCATTTCAGAGCTCATTTTTCCTTCAGCCTGTTTTAACTTTTAAAAACTGTAACTCAGCCCGAACTGTTGTTTAAGTGACCATCTACCCTCAGAGAGTAATTTACACTCTGGCTCTGTGATGGCCTGGCTTGTTTTGTGTCCGGGCCATAACATGAAGTAATGAGCCTTGGCCAGACATTACTGTGCATGCGTAAAGCTTGTTGTTTTGGAAGAAAGGCTGGAACTCCCGGCACACGCGCGCGCGCACTGCACACACACACACACACACACACACACACACACACACACACACACACACACACACACACACACACACACACGCAGAGCTTAGCGTGCATAGTGGCTAACGTCATCAAGCCCGTTCCCGTTGTGAGTCACTGCTTCACATCTGGTTCACAGTCTGCCCTCTGCTCTGCCTTCACCTCTGCTTCTCTGCCATCTCCTCTCAATCTTGACTGTGAAATCTCATCCCCCTCCAACCCACAATACAATTATTTTCATTGTTGATTAATTTCCCAACTAAGTACTTCAATGGGTTGTTTAGTCTATGAGATTTTCCATTGCTCATGGTGATGTCTTCAAATTGCTTGTTTTGTCCAACAATCCAAAACTGAAAGATATTAAATTTACAAAGATATAAAACAGAGAAAAGGAGCTAATTCTTGCATTTGAAATAAAGTAGTTTGGCATTTTTGCTTAATAAATGACTCCAGATTAAAGACTCCAGCCATTTAGTGCTGCATTTCCATAAAATTGGGTCAAAATCAAAGCATAAGAAGCCGAGATATCCCGACTTTAAGTCCCTCATATGGATTCAAGCTCTTAAAACACTGTATACATTTCCCATAATGCAACTTGATATCATCTTTCATTAGAACCTCCCTAATTGTTAAATCAAACATCTTTCAAATTCAAATGCCCAAGCTGAATTAACCCTGATGACATCACTTTGACATCATCAGAGCAATTTTTGAGGCTCCCTCCAGAGCTGATGTCATACAGCTGTTTTCACAAGCTTCTGACTTCAGTTTGCAAAATTGGTGGCGCGCCCCTTTAATTAATTAATTAACAACATTGTCAATTCCAGGCAGTCATCTGATCAATCACTTAACTAATCTGCTCTATCAAATACTATTACATTCCACTTCAGCCACAAAACCCTCTTTCGTTTTCCTGTCGTTTTTCCTTTTTTTTAACGTGTCTTCATCTACTTTCTGTATCCACTTTTCCTTCCCTCTCCTCACTCGAGGACCTCAGGCTGCAGGGCACATGAGGGCTCTCCTGAACACTGGGCCCTTAACAAATGAATGAAATTACCTCTGAATCAAGTGACCCGACTCTCCCAGCCAATAACGTCCGTCTAGTTTGCATGATCTGAGGGACGTGACAGTCCTTCCCTGATTAGCCTAGCAAATGCTTTTCTCCCCACCCCCCACAACCCGACCCCCCCCACCCCCACCCCTCCTACTGCACATCAGTAGCTATGACAAAAGGCGAGGAGTAAAGTCTGGTCATGAGCCTCTCTTTCCCATGACCACTAAGAGTGCTGGTAATTTCAGCTGTGCTGCAACAAGGAATGACTGCAATGTGAGCGCAGACGCCGGGATGTCCTGTTGCAGCCCTATATCATCCTGATGACAGAAAGGACTGAGACAAACCCCACTTCAGACGCTCTGGTTTCTATTTTGGCTTACGTAACAGTCAGTACGCCGGGTGGTGTGAGCATCGAAAACATTTTAAGTTTAAAAAGTCTTGATGCAGGAGAGGGAGTACAAGTGAAGGGTCATTAAAAAACTGTTCTGATGGGAAATACCAGAACTCGATGTGCTATGTGGGGAGTGTGGCTGAGGGTGACTGATGGGGCCAATGGAAAAGCCTCTCCCACTGTGTGTGTGCGAGCATGTGTGTGTGTGTGTGTGTGTGTGTGTGTGTGTGTGTGTGAGTGCCAGCTTATGTTTTTAAAAGAATGGCAGTAGCGCAGTATGGTGCTGATTTTGTTGCTCACTCCACTGCAGCCTGTGATATTGTGGTTTGAAAATTGATTGGGGGATGAACACACACACACACACACACACACACACAAACATGCATACAGAATAGCCTTCAACATTTTATTTTTTTTTTTGATATATTTATTTATTTTGTTTCAAATTAAGAGTCTGTTCCTTTTTAATCCTGCCACTGTATGTGACAATGATTTATCTCTGGCTGCAGTACACAGGAATCTCAACATTCCAGCTAATCACCGTGTGCAAAGTTCAATTGTAATCACAGCCAACTTGTTAGTATCTCTTAGGAAACAGTAAAGGCAGGATTCCCAGCCAGGCAGTCATCACAATCAACATTCCTCAGCAAGGTTACAAAACCTACGATTTCACAGAGCTGAACTCTGCTGATTACTGCTGCTGGAGGACGCTCCTATCTCGTGTTGTACAAAAATATGACACGAACGCTGTCCAAAAAGAAAGTGCAACAAATCATGGAGACAGTTTTGACAGATCAGCCTGCACTCAAAATAATATCAACACACTTAATGTTGTTTGCAATTTATGAATTGCTAAAGTGAATGAAAACCTTTTTTTTTGCACTGAGGAATGCAATCATAACAAATGCCGTGACAACAGGCAGTAACCTGACATTACTGTTTCTCTGAGGGCTTGCTCATGCAGCCAGAGATAATAAAAAAAAAAAAAAAAAAGAGAGAGAGACTTCTCTCTGTTCTGCCCGAGCCCACCGCGAGGAGCACCACCTCCGTTCTCTGAGTCAACAGAACAGAGCGGCGCTGGCAAAACACGAGGAAGTGACCACATGAAAGCGGACAGTGACAGGAAACAGAGCTGACTTCCTGCCTCACAGGAAACGCGGCGGTCGTGAGGCAGAGAAAAAGGCATGGAATGCGAAGCCGCAGCGTCGTCAGCCAAGTGGACACCGCAAATTTAGCTTTGCCCCCACCCCCCACCTCCACCCACCCCTCACTGCCAGAGAGTTTATGTTTAGCTACAGGCACTCATCCCTGATGTCACACTATATCTATTAAATGAAAGTAATGTTAACTTTGTCGTGTGACTGCTGAAACTCAATTACATGACTGGATACGTCATGACTCAACAAGTGGCCGCAGTATGTACGCCTGGGTGGTGTGTGTGTGAGTGTGAGTGTGTGTGTGTGTGTGTGTGTGTGTGTGCAGGAGAATGTGTTTTGAGTGTAGGCTGTTTAAGACGTAGAGAAAGAGGGGTTGTGTGTGTGACAGAGTGGGCATGGATCAGTAAAGAACACACTGTGCTGGTTTAAACTCCCTCACTGGCAGCACTACTGAAAGGCCACAGTGTTCGGTACATCACCCTCTCCTTTTCCTCTCCTTCCTTTTCTCCTTCTCTTTATTTCTCGTCTCCTCCCTCCCTCCCTTTCTTGTCTCCTCCCTCTTTTAATCTCCTCTCCTTCTCTCTTTGCATTGCCTTCTCTTGGCTCTTTCATATTATTTTCATCTCGTTTCCTTCTTTGTCCTCTCCTTTCCTTTCCTCATTTGGTTTCCTTCCGTTTCTTCCACTCTCTTTCTTGCCTTGTCTTCTGTCATCTGCTACTCTTACATTTCCTCTTCTCTTCTTACCTGCTGTCTCCTCCTTTCCTGCTGTCTCCTCCTTTCCTTCCTTCTACCTCTGTTCTACTTTCTCTCGCAGACAGTTGCCAAGTACCTGCAGAAAGCTGGAGACAGAGTGCCAGACAGATGCTGACACTATGGCCGGGTGCTGACGCTCTCATAGCTGCTCAAATGTCAACTGATCTAATGAAAAAAATCCCCAGAAGAGAGAACACCACCTACATGCAGGGCTGCTTTGAATCAAGTGAAGCCACAAGAGAAACCTCAGTTGCAAAGGCCATACAGCTATAGGTATATACCGTCTGCAGCAATGCTCCCTCCTCAGAGACTGAAAGCGTGCAGCAGGTACAAGCTCACACGCTATCAGCTCTCTGAAAAGTTTCACATGCAGTTATCAGAGATATAGAACTGATGGAGGTGAAAAAGTGTGGTTTCCCTGCACTATTTCCACTGAACGCATGAGAGAAACGGTGCTGTCCTGAGCAACTTTTTCACCTTTCGTTAACTACGTTTCAGCCTTAACTGCAGGTGTGTTCTTGCACTGAAAGTAGCTATTTTCTGTGTCATGTCTGCGGCTCTGAACAGGACAACCTATACAGTAGGTAGCACACCATCTCTAACCACTACAGTAAGTAGCTTCTAAAGCTGTAGCTTGGTCATGTCTGGAGCT